CAACTCCTTCTTCAACTTATAATAGCGATTATAAATCTCTTCAAAGTACACCTTTTTTGACTCGAGTGAATCAATATACTTCTGTATATAATTCACAAAATCAGGAGTCAAAACAGAGTTGTATCAAGATTTCTTTAAAAACAAGAATACAAAAAAGAAAAATAAAAAACACTAGCCTGTGATCGCTCTAGAATCTCAACTACTTCTGCATCACGCTCACACATCATCTCCACCGTACAATCATCATATTCAGCCTGAGAAAAGAAATAATAAATTGAGTTTGAGAGGTTAGACAACAATAAGAAATTTTAGAGGAGGTGGAGGCCTTACTAAGGCTTGATGCAGCTCGCTGGTCTCACAGTGCTCAATGAAATCTGCAAAGTTGCGGAAAGAATCAACATGGCATGACTCGCAAGAAAACTTTTGAAAGCCGCCTATGTCCACCAGTCCTCTAGTCTCCTCCTCAAACCCTGAAACTTTCAGTAAGCTATACCTAGTCCAGAGCCACTCTGCACCAACGTAGACCAAAGATCTATGGTGTGGGTCTTCAATTTCATAAAATGGGGGATGTGCCAGAAGAAGATTGTATCCAACGTAGACACCCTTGTAAATTTGGCATACGACACTATCCAGCAGAGAAGAGTCGGTGGTTATGAGCATTAGTGTCATTGGAGATTGACTAGTTCGTGAATCCAAATATTCTATCACCATACTATACAAGCCTGTTAAAAAAAAAAGAAGTAATGAATATAAACCCTAAACCCTTTCTAAAAAATCAAAATAAAAAATTTGGAGAAGGATAGAAAGTAAGAATAACCGCGTATGCAGTGTCTAATAAGGACTCCAGTGGAAGAGAGCGCTCTCAGGAACTCATTAGGGATCCCGTACAGGTTTCCAGCAGCAACGATCATGAGGGGCCCATCGTAGCCTAGATCTTCCAACTCCGTGTCTATTCTCGGAGCTAGAAGACATGGGTCATAACCATTGGGGAGCGGACAGTTGTCCATGTCCCAAAACACCACCGTTTCAGATGTCTCGTACTCAGGCTTAGCCATGTTCACCCTCTTAATCCTAGTACTCATTCTTTTTTTTTCCTGGAAAATTAAAAACTAACTAAATTGTTGGGATTTAACCTTTAACCTAGTGCTTAAACTTAGATAGAATCAATATCAAAACCTTGTCTTTATTCACTCAAAGAAAACTGTTTCTCAAGAACAGTAATAGAGATTACAAGCCAATGATTAACACAAAAAATCCAAACATTTGTAATTGCTTAGTCTCATGTTATCTCTCTCTTATGCTCTTGCCTTCTCTTTCGGATTACTTCTCCAAACCTACATCACCTCTTCTATATATAATAATATGATCAACGACCTTATCCCTCATCTCCATATCTATCTATCTATACTATTATTTGCGAAGCAATTTTTCGCAACGGAGCTCCCACGTTAAAAGTTGGAGCGGTTAATATCGTTTATACCCTTGATAAAAAATTTATATAAAACTAATTTTATAATTAAAAACGAAATTTATATTTATTTGATTAGATAAATGATTGAAATTAATAATAATGATAAGAATTATCCATAATCTAAATATATATTTAAAAATAAAATAAAAAGAGAATTTCTATATATATTGTGTTGTTATCAGAAAAATATATTTAATTAATATATAATCAATCCTAAATTAGAAATAAATTTCACTGATTTGATGACTATTATTATCTAAAAATAGTTGATATTAATAAACCATAAACTATTTTGCGAAGTGATTTTTTGCAACGGAGCTCCTACGTTAATAGTTGGAGTGGTTAATATCATTTATACCCTTAATGAATAAAATATATAAATCAGCCAAAAATAAAAAAGAATTTATATTTATTTGATTAGATAAATGATTTAATTAATAATAATGATAAGAATTATCCATAATCTAAATATATATTTAAAATAAAAGAAAAAAATAATTTCTATATATTGTGTGTTGTTATCAGAAAAATATATTTAATTAATATATAATCAACCATAAATTAGAAACAAATTTCACTGATTGGATGACTATTATTATCTAAAAATAGTTGATATTAATAAACCATAAACTAAAACTGAATTAATATATAAGTAACAATAAATTAATTATATTTTAAAAAGTGAATTTGCTGATTTATCATATTCTCCATAATTTTATGTAATTATACTTATTTATCATGTTTTTATGATTTTAACTAATGATTAACTATTACCCTTAATCAATGAATAAATAAAATTATTATTATATAATTATGAACCGTATATTAATTAGATTTACTACCCTTAATGACAAAGCAAACATAAAATTAATGACTAATTGGATTTATTACTATATAATGAGTAATTAGATATATTACTATATAATAATTAGAAACAAATCTTATTTGTCATGTTTCTTATGATTTGATGATTATCATTATCTGGACTAATGATTATAATAAATCTAATTATTCATTATATAGTAATAAATCTAATTAGTCATTAAGTTTATGTTTGCTTTGTCATTAAGGGTAGTACAAATTTCAATATATAATTAAACATAAGTAAAACACAAATTTCATTTATTTGATAATCATGCTTATTTTTTTTTTATATGTCTTTATCAACATTGAAAATAATTATATTTAAAATAATTATATTTGTTAATATATACTTAATTCTAAATTAAAAACGAATTTCATGAATTTGATAGTTATCATTATCCAATTTATTTATATTGTGTTATAAGTCTTTATTAACCTTGAAAATAATTATATTTGTTAATATATATTTAATTATGAAAAAAATAATTCGCAAAGGATTTATGTATAGATAGTTTACATTACTAAAGATAATTTTATTATACTTTTCTATTATGTTTAAAAATGATATTAATTTATTATTAAATATTTTAAATTTGTGAGTATTTTTACATTTAATTTTTGTAATGACAATTATTTATATGTTGATGAAAATTTTATATATAGAAATAATTTGTTTAGATTATTATTAAATATTTTGAGTGTATGAAAAATAATTTATGAGAATTTACTTAAATTGATTATATTTGTTTATAGATATTAGAAAATTCTTAAGCCCGCAAGTGCGGGTAAAACACCTTGTTGCCTTATGTTAAAGTATAGTTTCCTTTTGTTTGTGCAGGAGTTCTTGTTGGGCTGAAGACTTATAGATAGGTCAAAACAGAATTGGGCCTTTATCTCTACATAAATCAATCGGATTACTTTCAAGACATTGTTGATTCAAAACATGAGACAAAGGCCGACAAAGAGATAGAGATCAAAGCGTGACAAGTCGTATAATTAATAGAAATCGTTCATAGATTTGAAGGTCCCTATTTATACATACATTCTTCCTAAGGCTATGAGAAGAAGTGTTGAGATAATTTCTTCTTTAACCAATTAACCAATTTATCTCATTTGACTAATTAACCTTAGCACACTTCTTGTTGTTGTTTGAATTTGTTAAAAACATAAGATTTTTAATCCACTTCCCTTGCTGTGACTTTTCACAGAATTAACTGTGACTTTTCACCAATAAAATTATAACCGCCACATATTTATTAGAGTAACTAAACCACATGCATGCAAAACACTTTTCATTCATCCACATCGGTGAACCTCTCCCCAGGGATTCACACAAATAAAAAATTAATTTTTTTTTCGTTTACTTTAAAAAAAGAAAAAGTTAATTATGGACCAATCAGAGATTAACACATGGTGAACCCGGGGTCATCGGGGTTCACCGGAGTGAACTTTTGAGAGAAGAGTTCATAGAAATCTGATTTTAATATTTTTTTTTTTTGGTTTGCGTGTGAACTCCCCCCCATCATCTCTTGATGGGGGTGCTCTAATATGCATGCACACATGAACAAAAACAAATTTCATAAAGCGCATTCATGTATTTCTTATAAAACACTTTTTATGAATTTTATTTGTAAGGCAAAGTAATCGTTCATGCACTACTATCAGCAAAATTCGAGAACAAAAAAAAAATTTCAAGCACTTATACAACCATTGCACTTGTTCGTTTATGTATCAAAGTTTACAGAACCTTAAACAAACAATAAACAATATTTCCAGATTTACAAAAAAAAATCCAGAAACTTAAATGCCAGATGCCGTGTTTATATACATTATTATGAATGTACACTTGAACAAATGTATTATCTTTAAGCAACATGATTCTTTACTTTCTAATCCAACATCAGAATTCCTAATACATGCAAATCATCAATTCATCCATAAAATGTTAATTATGGCGATCGTAAACATGTATCATGAACGATCATTATAATGGATGTAACCAATGTGTCTATCAAACTTTCGTATATAATCTAAGTGTATGAAACTATAGGATATGAATTTGAGTCATTTGCATGTAAAATAGACAATAAATGTATAATTTGCAGGTATGGAAAAACATACAATGCCCAACCCAATAACAAAGAAAATAAAGATAGTACCCCTAGCTTGTGGTTTGCGAAGAATGAGAGAGCAATGAAGATTTGAGTATCATCATTATAATCATGATTCGCGTCCTTTCTCCAATTCGTTTTTATATGAATTCTCTAGGATTAATGAATTTTAATTTGATCAGTGATTGATGATAAACCATAGTAACTAAATGGATCTCATTTGTTTCAGAAACCTTTTCACAAAATGCAGCAAGAGACGTTAAGTAATATTATGGTGAAATTAAAATAATTTTTGGCTATCCAATCTTGGCATACTTTCTCTTTCCCGAATGGTTTGTTATCGCTGCTATGGAAGTTCAAGTTGCAGGAGGTGTTGCAGGTCAAAATAGAGTTTAGGTTGTGTGCTTTGAGGAATGTTTTTTGCGTTGTCTGTGACGGATTCAATGGAATAGATTATGCTGATTGCTTGACTTGTACTTTGTATGAGTCCATTGTATTCCATCCAGTTATTTGATTATCAAATGAAGACACATCACAATGTCGATGACGGTGAGAAAATGGATTTTGTTGTCACACAAGGATAATACGATAATTAGATGGTTAACATGAGATGTTAATGACTAGTTAATTCGTAGTCAGTATCGTTATAATGTAACTTTTTAAATTCTTCGTAAATTAGCATGGTTATATTCCAACATATCTAGATAATTATGTTAGCTGATATTTTGATTTAAAATTCGGACTATATTCCAACTTATCAGGATACTTTAGATGTCAGTTGGTATTCTGATTTAAAATTCCGACTATACTCTCACATATATGGATACTTTTCATGTTAGCTAGTATTTCAATTTAAAATTCCTACTATATTAGCATGGTTTGTGATTGAATTAGAGACCAACCAATTTATATAAAATGTTTGGTGTATTGATTGTTGGATGTAAGTAATTACATATTCAGCTAACTCTGATAATAAAAGAGAAATAAAATATGATATCCGGATAATAAAAGCTAGTTAAATAAAGTGTACGGTGAATTGATTGTTAGAACACCTTCTTCCGATTTGTATTCTGCAACTCCAACAGAGTCAAATCCTCATCTCTTGGTAACTTCCTTAAAAGTTCCTAACCAGCTTCACATTGTGGAAGACAATCGGATTGAGATCAAACTAATATTTAACATTGCATGTTAAGGATAATATTACAAAGACAAATCGAATTGAGGCCAACATTGTCGCTCAGCGATTTGAATTGCATCACCGCTGAGATCAGCATCAGTGAGATTTAGCAGCTAAAAAGCTCTTTTGGCAATCATCGAGTAAGTACTAAAAACGTCTAGCTGTGGACATGAAGACTATCCAAATGAGTCGAGCGAGAGACCTCGATTTCTATGGGGAGTTTTGTGTTTTATTGAGAGATGGCATCAGTATCGTACATACAACAACAACAAAAATCGAGATTTTAAACTAAAAATTTGATTAAAATATTAGTTGCTGGGATAATACAGAAGCATTTCTGGATTTGGAAGAAAGAGTACGAAGAAATATAAAAGAATTTAGAAGAGAAGAAAGAGAATGCTATGATATAAACAAGGCTGGGCTTGTAGATACTAGTGTATGTAGGGGCAGTTTGGCCAT